GCCCTCGCGATTGACGGCATGAGTGAAGCCAAGGTGCTGAAGCCATTAACGTCCACCTGCGAACGGATGTGTACGGCACGTGTCAGGATTGTCGTACGTATCCCCAGGAGGGCAATGTGTCCGTATCCCCAAGGAGCATCGCAGCAACCTCTGATGCGATTTGACAATGTGTACGATACACGTGCATTATTACGCTGTCGTACAATAGTACGGCATGTAGAGCATGGATGATAATAAGCAATCAAAGGCAACATATGGTAAATAAGAAGGCATAAACGAACATATAGAGGAAAATATAATAGAAGTATTTGCTTCAGGGTTAGTTGCAGTAGCAGTACAAAGAGAGCAAAAGAAAACACGTTGTCATGCATCATGCCCCAGGCGGTTCCCAGTGCCGTTCAATGCCGTAGTGCGGTATATACCTAGAAGCTACAGCGAGGGTTGTCCTGTTAAACCTCGAGTAATCCAAGCGCATCGATGGTGGGGGCAATAATCGTGGGTTGTCACCAGCTGCCGCTACCCACCACACCTACCTTGGTGACCTGACCCATGAAGTACGGCGAATGGAAGTCGCCCTCCGTGCCGTACGCAACGAGTAACCACCGCACAGTAGCGCCAGCTGGAATGTTTAGTCCCGGCAGGTTGCAGTACAGGAAACCGTTGATGGAGTGTTTCCTATTGCCCTCCTGCATGTAGTGAACAAGCGGCAGCGACTCAGCAGCGGCCAACGGCAGCGGCTGGTGCCATAGCTCAACTACAATCCCTTACGACAGCGCTTTTCGCAGAATCATTCATATACAGGTGTAACAGCAGCGACAGCATTGCCAAGATAGGATGGTCCCAGCTACAAAGGCTGTAGCAAAACCGACAAACCTGCCTTCGCGAAACGAAGCAAACAACAATATCAAAATATATAACAAATATATCAGCGCACTCTTGTTTGTGAGAACGAGTACGCTGTATCCTGCAATCGACACTCTCACCCATTCCCTCACCCCCATCCCCTCAACACCCCTCAGGCGCCCAACCCAAATGCCCTTTCGCCCCTTTTCTCGGCGGAGGGCGCGGACCCAGGGTTTTTCATTTTGAACGAATGCCCTTGAAAAACGCTATAACAGACACAGACTACAGACAAACGACCCACATGATACACTGCGCTGGTTCCCGCGTCCAGATCTGTCTCGTTGATTTGTGACGCCGCTAGGTTGACATCCCAGTAGGGGCTGAGCTCCTCATTGATAATCTGGGTTATGAGGGGGGGAAAAGAATGCGGGTAAAGGGTATTTTATGGAGAGCAGTACGGTGAAGCGCCTGAGGAGGGGGGCGGGTCGGTAAAAATTAACAAAAGAAACCTAATAATGGCAAGTGAAGCAAAAAAGACGATACACTATACGGTGCCGCCGGCGTGTGTTTTCCCCCCCCCTCCCCCCTCCCTCCCCCCCTCCCTCCCCACCTGCCAATACAGCGGAATCATGAGGTCCACTCCGGCAGGCACTACCGCCCCTGGCTGTAGCTTACTGGGCTGCAGCACACCGGGAGCCGCTACCACCAGAGCGCCCGCCAGACCAGCAACGGGTGCTGATGCCACATCTACCGTACTCGTGTAGCCGTACACCGTCGTACTGAAGTCGGCTGCGTGATGGGGTCACGGCGGATCGTGCCAAGTGAATGGCGTAACGGTACGGCAATGCGCAGTGCAATGGTACGGCAACGGGGCGGCGGCGGAGGAGAGCAAAGGACAAAAATGACATGCGTAATTAACGGTCTTGCTTGATACAGCCGGGTAGCAGAAGTAGGGGTCAGAGCCATAGTCCGGAGTTTGCGTGCTTGTTGGCTTGTTCACTTCAACCTTGCCTTAAACCTACCTAAGGCGACCATGCAGTACATGACCGCTGTGATGCCGTGCCATGCTGTACGACGCCGTATGCGCACCTACCTGGTCCAGGTCCGGCGCTGACCGGCACCAGCCAGCGATACACGCACATTTCCCCCGCCGCCACCTCCTGGCAGTTATCCCCCCGGACCACCAGCCCGCCACCCATCTGAATGTTGATGGGGTAGTTGGCCAGGTCCGTCAGGTTGTTTCGGAGGTGGATCTCTAATATGTCCCCAACCTACCGATTAAGGGGTGACAAGGTGGAGGGGGGGGGGCCCGCATCGGGGTTTCAGCCACATGATGGCTCACAATCACATCATTGACAAACGCATTGGCTTGGGTTTGCGTGTGCGAGGTTGTAGAACGTGGCACGTGTTTCGAGGTGTTAGATATTTCAGCTTCAGCAGCAGCAGGAGTGTTCAATAGTAGAGCATCGTAACCACTGCGGCAGTAGCAGGAGGGTACGGCTGCAACCCCCTGATGCCCGGTACGAAGGTAGCTAGCTAGGTAGCTAGGTAGGAACGGGGCACTCACCCACCGATCCACCCGCATTACCAGGCACGATCTCACCCATGCACTCACTCACCCAACCCCCTCATTTACTCCCAACCAGTCATACACAGATGCACGCACGCGTCCTCC